CATTTTCTGTTAATTCTGCACCATGTTTTACATACTTTCTAGAAAAACAAATACATTATATAAGATAGTACTGTTACAACATTTTATTTATATTTTTTTCACCTTTTTCTGGAAAACTTGAAATCACTAAAATATCCAAGTTTATGCTAAATTGTCAAGCAATTGTCAGAATTACAAATTTTGGTACAATTTTTGCTCGGGAATAGCCTTTAAGTATACCAACGGTGAATGCTTAAGCCAATATATATTTTTCATCTCAAACACACTTTTTTATTTTCTTCAGTACGATTTCCCCATGGAAAATGACTTCTTGAAGTGATGACTTTTGCCCACTATAGCTGATCTTCAGTTAATTTTCTTTTGCCAACCATTTTATTAGGAGCTAATCCAGACATACCATTCCATAGTTCATTCATATCAAGCAGTGTTGTACAGTTGCTACCAAGATCAGTTTCAAAACATTTTCTTTCTTCTTGAACTCCTTGATATCAGTTCCTCCTTAGCCTGCCCACTCCCACCTCTCCCACTATACCCCCAGGGACCCTTATTCTAGTGGTTTCCATAGATTCACCTATCCTGGGTTTCATAGACCAAAGAACAGAAAAACATAAAGATTCAAAAAGACTACCAACAATGAGAAAATACAACAGAGATAAACCCCAATATGAAAAAAAAAATTTTAAACCATATCAAGCCCAAAGTGTATCAGAAAGGAGATGAAGTGACATTGTTTAAATTGTTCAAGTCAGGTTTATTCTACTAAAGTCATCTCTATACTCTGTGTCTGATCACCAGGTTATTCCCATCCCTCAGTTGTGGTCAGGGGGAATCACCAGAGGCTTATTCCCTGTGGAGCGCCTGCAAATATACTGGGGCTCCCACTGTCACCCATAGCTTTCTGCACACCAGAATCTCACAATTTAAACTCTGATACTATTCCTTTCTTTGGATTCAGATTTAATAATTTGCAATCTTTGGATCACAGATGTTGGTGTACTTCCATGTGGATTTAGTTGACATCTCA